CATAGTGGTCTGTCAAGCAATCATCTTCGTCACGTAGCGGTCTAGACCGGTAAATCCCAATGTAACTTGAACCACTTCAATAGTCAACAGTAAGTCGATTCCATTGATAGATAAGCCATCCCTACTAATATTATAAATGCGAAAGTAACTCTGTCTGTCTATCTGTCTGTTACGTTTTCACGCCTAGACCACTGAACTGATTTTAATGAAATTTGGTACAGATATGGAGTTGACCTTGAGAAAGAACATAGGATAGATTTTATCCCAGACTTTTGAAAGGTTCTCTTGAAAACGCGATATAACCGAACTCCACGCGGGCGAAGCTGCGGGCGGAAAGCTAGTAATTATAATAAAGCTTCCATAATCAATCGTGTAAAGAAATGTTTAAAAAAAATTCATTTACAACCTCAGTAACCTGGGCTTAATCTATTTTAAATATACTAAAGTCAATGCTCAAATAATTATGTATTGCGGTAGGAATATTACTTAGAATTGTTTATTAAGAAACTTAATATTTTTCATAGAAACAAAATACTAGTTTGTCAACCCGAATCAGAACAGGTTTTAAAATATATACATATATATAATATATGTTATGTGAAGTAATGAAAATATTATATATTTTTGCGATACGTTATCGTGTTGGGTGACTTAAAGGAAACTGAATCTGCGACATGTGGCGATGATTCATAGTACAGAGAATAATTTAATGGATAAAAATTCATACACACACTATGTAGGACAAATTTGATTATTATCAAAATAATTGCTCGTAAGAATGGAACTTGTTTGTACAGTACTATTTAAGGAAAGATATACGTAGTTGACATTTTGTTGTTAAAAAAGGAAATGTTAAAGAGAACAATTATCCTTATCTATTTAGCGAATCCAGCAGGCAGTCTATACATGGAAGTACATATTAAGATTAAGACAACTAAACAAGCACTGTTCACATACTTTAGTCCCATATATATTTATACCAATAGCTAAAATATATTGCTTATTAAGTCAGTGGTGGCCTAGTGGTTAAAAGGCCCTCCCTCTCATGCACGAGGGTGCGGATTCGATTCTGACCCGGGCAAGTACCAATGTAATTTTTTCGAGTCATATGTACTTTTCTAAGAGTGTTTAGATATCACTGATTAATGCTGATTCTCAAAGAGAATTGTTGTCAAGCAGACGGCCGGTCTTAAAAACAAATAGCCAAAAACTAGTCACAACATGTAATGCAGACCCTGGCTATAGCTGGGAAATTGCCAGGTAGAAGAAGAAGTTAAAATAAATTGTTATAGACGCTGTAATATTTAATATACTATAAATGTCCTGTTTTTTATCAACAATTTAACTGTTGAATTCCTCATAGTATAATTAGAAGTGATGTATCCATAATTACATAAACAATTCTATAATATGTCTATACCTATGACGGTTTTGTTCAACTGGAATGTAAGTGAGGCGAACTTGCACTTTGTGTGTGGTAAATTTATTTTTATACATTACATACTCATGATCTTTAGTCATAATATAACGCTTATTTTTGTTAATTAAATAGTACGTCATTCAAATATAATAATACAAGTACATAATCAATTGAAATTATTTTATCGTAAGAATCTACAATTAAAATTTAGTATCGTGGTATAAAAAGTAATTTAATTCTATATAGAAAAAATTCTGTACGTTCTCAAATGTAAGATTTTTTTTACTTATACGTCTTCAAGTAACAAATCGTTACTATCACTATAATAGTTAATACCTTTTTATAGTACGAACCGGTTTTATTCAAACGCATATCTAAAAACCTCTGGTTATACCATTGTGCAATTAAGATTTCTTTGTGTAAGATTTTGATGTATGAAGCGAGTCAGTAAGGTAAATCAATCTCCAATTATTATGTGGGTAGATTGCAAATCACAGGTCATTCAACCCCCCGCATAAGTGGGCGTTACGATGACCGTAATCTTCTGTTCTCATCAACACTTGAGTAAAATACGACCAACTTAAATATATATAGCGTAGTTTTTTATGTTTTTAAATCTACATACATTATACATAAACATTCGATAATATTCTTATAATCGTTAATGTTGAATAATTTAAACAAACACAGGTCGTGTTTAATTGCAAAACGAAAGGAAGGAAAGCATGAAAAAACAGAAAGTTCACGCCGATTGGATGGTAACACGCAAATTGACATCCAATAAAATTAATTACGCTTAACACAGGTCCGCTTACACTACAGACGTAACGTTTAAAGTTCATTATTTATAGTATAAGCTGGTTAATAAGATACTTCATATATGCGAACTTGTGGTAGGCATATTGATAAACTTTATAGGGCAACCATCCGGACAGTAATTGTAGATAAAATCCTGATAATACAATTATATTAATATTAATTAATTACAAACAATTTTAATCATATATCCTTAGTATGAACTGTATTTGTCACTCAACACTCAAAGTCTTACCGTTGCTCATTAACGACATTAATATGATTGATGGTTTGATGAAACACATTGGAACTGTCGGTTTGTAGTTTAATAATTAAATTTCGTACTAAGGTATAAAATGACACAGCATATATATTTTATTAACAATTAATAATATTGATAACGACGCATCCTTGCATTACTGAATCATTGCGTGTTTCATTGCCTTGTGTATTTTGTTACATTCAGTTTTCATATAAAAAAATGTCTTTAAAGAACCGCTGGTATTTGGTCGAAATATTCTTAATAGTTCAATGGTATAAGAAAGTTTTGTTAGGAAGTTATTTTTGTGACCAATTAACGTTCAGCTTGTCAAATTAATTGCGTTAGAATATACATATCACGCAAACAAAGTATAATATGTGAGAATATAAAAATACATTACGAAATTATGTATCACAAATATAAGTAATATGTCCAAGGTTAGAAAATATGCGGTTTCATTTACCAGGCTTCCTTCATGCGAAGATTTAAGATGTAGTTTCTCAGTCAGAGTATACGAAATTAGAATATATTACGAAACGTTTATTTTTTATTTTAAATATAACACAGTGGCGACAGTTGAAATTAAAATAAACAGATTTAGAGAGGAAGTTCTCGAAATAATTTTAAGTTAGTCACGATATATACAGAATGATTTCGAATATTATGCAATGCTTTCTTATTTTCAAATAATGTTTAAGTAAAAGTAATTGGTATTCGATTTGAATATAAGACGTGTGTCGTGTGCCGAGATGGTAATAAACGGCGCCGCGCATTGAATAACAAGTTTGCGAATATAAATTATATGGACTCTGTAATATACAAACTCATTTTATGATCATTTTGTTATCTGTGGAGTCCATGATATACAAACTCATTTTATCTTTTTAACATGCATTTTTTGCGTGCACATTTAAATTAATAATGCAGTTATTTTGTATAAAATGGCAATTACTATGTTTGTATACGAAATATATATTGCTGTATAATTTGAAGTGGTTTCATTTATTTATGTGTTTATAATCTGCGGGCGAATGGAAGGGTTCTGCAAGCGTCCACCATATTGATAAAAAATTTGGCAAGGTGTGTTCATGCAAGGTGGAAATAACATCTGTTTGAAATGTGAAGGAATCACGACGAAATCAATGTAGCACCTGTTGTAAAACATGAATATGTTTTATTAACATCATCACCTGGCAACACTGGTTATTTTAAAGAAAAAATAATTTCTTATATCGGGAAATTAAAAACCTGGCAACATTGAAATTGTATTCTTTTCTAAATCTTAGGCTCAAAAGGATTCGTATCAAAGCCAAATTTACAAAAAAAATCGATCATTTCTTAAGTTTCGGCTGGCGTATTCGAATTAAAATGTTGATTGGAGATATCATGATCGTATAAACAATTAAGACTTAGCACTAAATTTATAGATATAATTACGATTATCAAATCTTAGTTTGATTACATAATGTATATAATTAAATTAATCGATAAATCAACTGGTTATGTTCAGTTGAGTTGCCGAAGGACGCTATTTTATATATCCTGTGTAAAAAGTAGGTTAATTGTTAAAGCAAAATATTTTTAATCTGTTAATGAAAAGTATATGCTTAGCAAAATTGTTAAATTTATGATTTTCAACGACTTAAAAGCATTCAGGTCATCTGGATTTGTTCCAATACTATGACATAAGAGAAATGGGTTTGTTATATTTACAAAACCGAGACATTTTTATATAGAAACTAAAATATGTTTCGTTATCTTGATTTGATTAAATAATACGAAATACCTTAGCTTTTTTCCCATAGAAAAATTTAAATGAATTCTTTGATATACGAAACAATAGAGAAATGTGAGAGCCTCGACGTTTTATAAAGATTCTCATAAATATAACGACTGTGTGACCATGACGATGTCATATAATACATTGTTAGCTTTATCTTTCCTCTGAAAAGCTTTCTTTAAATTTTCTTTTACTTTTCTCACCAACATTCTTTTTTTAGATTTTACTTATACGTAATACCTATACGCGTTCTATTGAAACCTAGAGGTGTCTAAATAATCTCGTAATATTAACACGAATTTACTTACAAATTACTATATATCAACAATATAATTGTGACATAATTATACTTTTATTTAAATTTCGTTTACCTCACATTAATTAGTTCATTTATCATGTCAGATTAAAGGCAGGTTAATGACTAAGGATATGTCAATGTTTGTTCCACTTGACATAATTTAAAAGGACCGTTGCATTTGCCAAGTTGTATAGTAAAATTATGGTTTATCAGAGCAGGGCGGGTCGGGATGCGTCATCGCTACCCTCCTCACGCACCCTCATTTCCCTCTGCACCCCCAACCAAAACGTCGATCGATCTTGAGAAAGACCACTAACGCCATGCGCAAAGCCCGCCCTTTTTGTTTATATTATAAAATCATGATGTACACGTAAAAACATGTAATAGTACGACAGAATCGTAACGTATGAATCTATTATATTACATACAATAATTTAATACTCACTGGCATTCATTCATTATTTCCTCTTGAGAACGAACTTGGACTGGTGCTAGCTTTTCTACGCTCTCTTCGTAGTTCCCGAAGCACTTTGTGATTTTCTCGTCGAACGTATTCACCAAATCTTCAAGCGAGCCGGAGAAAGTCTCCGTGAAATTATCTCCTTCACAGTTTTGCAAATTGTCCTGTTTACACTTCACCGGTTTAGGCTCGTCATTGTCGTTGAGTTTATTGGAGTCCATTTTCATTTTCACCATATCATTTTTAAGATTATTAATGTTGTTGAGACGTATGTCATTACCATTTATGGTCTTCTGTGGATAGTCCGAGGTTGAAAAGCAATCGTCTGCCTCTTCGATTTGGGCAAGCGGTGCTTCGAACTCTAGTTCGGCCATCCTGCCAGCCGATTCTCGCATGACCGTTCGTCTACACACGCCAGCTATCGCGCGAACACTAACTAGTAACTGGCAACTGCGCTCAGTCGATGTACCGATTGCCAACTGTGTCGCTTCGGGTCGTGAGGGTGTTATATCTATATATTTTCTATATTTTACGGAAAGTAGCTTAGCTAAATGTAAATTGCAAGCAAAAGCAATCAGTTTACGGTCTGATTACATGAAAGTTTTCAAACAAATTGTAACAATAAGACTTACTATGAATATAAAACCATTTTTTTCAATATTTCTTGTGGTTAATAATTTATATTGACTACAATTTCCATCTAAATATGCGAGAAAAAGCACTTTTTAGGTTCTGATAGATTTTATTTATAATAATTATGTGTTAAGTAAGGAATATTGTTATATTTGACTTTTCAAAATTATTCATTTTATATTTCGCGCCTGTTTAAACGCTTTTAAAATTAGGTGTAAACAATATTCGATCTGGCAATACTCATTCTTACAACAAAACAATACGCGTTTGGTGAAAAAAGTATGAATTATATAATTTTTGAAAACTATATTTTCTTTTATCTGTTTTGTTACTTAAATGAAAAAATATTTTAATACACATTGTAGATAACATACATTTTTTTATTAATTTATATTAGTTACTTATTTTTGACACTACGATATATGATGGTGACGTTTATCTAAAAATGTAATTTGTAATTACCAAATAATATCATGAACATCTTTCGAAATGTTGCGTTACTAAATTTTGGCTACACATTATCGTAATGTACTTATTTAAAAGACAGAGACCTGATTTAAAGGCAATATGCACTTTAGTACAAAAGTTCAGGTAAATAAGATTTATATATTAAAGAAATTTCATTGTAACAAATATTGTTTCATATTCTGCTTTACTTCCAGCATAGCGAAGAAGTCTCATTATGAAGTTTTAAATGTACGAAAGAACTGTACAGAAAAGGAGATTAAAGATGCATTCATTAAGCTTAGCAAAGAGGTGAAAATAATCATGAATTTGTCGTTAATAATAGTGTAATATTGACCTTGCGAGAACAAAAAAATCTTGTGACTTATTTTTAAACATTTTTGTGTACGAAATTTTAATACAGCTGCACTACAAACAGGACAATTTTAACATATATAGTATGGGGATATGGGTATCTTAGTTCAAAATGTTATATGTTTTGAATTATTATCAATCTAATAATTATTTTATATTTAGTATCACCCAGACAAAAACAAGAGTTCTCAAGCACAGCAACAGTTTGTGGAGATAGTTGAAGCTTACAATGTCCTGAGCAAGCCTGGCAGTCGGTCTAGATATGATTTAAATAGCCATCAAACAAGTAACTCAAATGTTTATAAAACATATCCTTCTTACGAGTTAGTATTTCAATATTTTTATCACTACCCTACATATGACTTAAGATTAGTCAATAAAAAAATTTACTCTATAAATACACTCAAATTATAAAAATAAATTAAAATAATATATATATGATTTCGTTATATTAACTGTATAATATTTCACTCCTTATTCCCATAATACAGATAACTTTTTATTTTATTACATTATAGAGTTTTCTAATATATATATATCTTTATATTTCCAGCTATAAGTACAAAGCTTATAATAATCAGTACTATAATAATTACACAAATAATAATTCTACCAATCAGAATCAGAATTCGGATGCATATTATGGACTGAAAGGAATCCGAAAAGTACCGAATGTAGTAATCATCATGATTTGTTTTGGTGTTGCCATTGTCGGATTATTTTTACAAATACTCGTTATAAGGTAAATAAACTATTTATCTATATATATGTATATTTATATACTCTGTGGAAAATAAGCCTTGTGAAAGTATTATGAAAAATATCAGCTAAGTAGTCATGTAGCTTTGTAGTGATTTTTATTGAAAATTTTGGTTTTTCATCTCTATTTTATAACTTACTAGTTTTTGCCCGCGACTTCGTCCGCGTTAGTTTGGTCAAGAGTAATATATGTAGGTATAGCTGACCAGGCGAACTCTATTCCATCTTAGAGGCCATAAATAATCAGGTTTTTCCTGTTTCAATCAAACAGAATGATTGACATATTAGTTAGTTGTCAAATCTAACGTCAAAAAAAACGTTTGTATGGGAAATAGAAAAGGGCTGTTTTTAGGGTTTTCCCGGCAATTATTCCAATTTTTCTCACCTTTTAAACCTTCCCTGGACTTCCAGGAGTATTTGAAGACTATAATTAGCCCAATCGGTTCAGCCGTTCTCGAGTTTTAGCGAGACTAAGGAACAGCAATCCATTTTTATATATATAGAAGATTGTATCAATAAATTAGTGTAACGTTTATGGTATATTTTTCTTTGCAGCCGTTCTTACCACTTTCATAGAAAAAGGATAGATGAGAAATCTATAAGATTGGCTGAAGAATTGGAAAAAGTTAGAGCAGCTGCTAGGGAGAAAACCAATGAAGTAAGAAATATTATAATTTTTCAAGAAAAACATAGTAAAATTGTTTGTTTTTACATTTAATGCTACTGGGTGATTTTTTAAAATCAATTCAACCATTATAAGGCCTAATTATAATATATTAAAATATTGGGACCATAACACAGACAGATATATATATATATATATATATATATACATGTTATAGCTGTCTGTGTGTTATTAGTCCACACAATTTTATAATATCTATTCTAACTCATTTGTAGACAGTAGTTCATATAGTAGTAGATGAGTAGTTGATAGAGTATCAAGAATTTTTGCCTTATAATTTATGCCACATTTATTTACCTAGGAAATTGTTTTGTCTCTCAAATATTTACACATTCTGTCACTGTAATCTATACATATTATTATGTTACATCCATTTAACAAGTGAATTATTAAACCTATTATTTCTTAACTTTCCATGAAACATTGTGTCACAGATAGTAGAAAATATTGATATTAATGAGAACTAAGATTTTCGCGAGCCTTATTCATTTAAATGAAACCGATATTTCTCGGATGTACTACGCGACTTTATTTTTGATAAAAACCGTGTTCACCGTGGTTGATGAAAAGTAGCCGAAACGTCAGTTTTTATCAAGAGACGAAACCTCTCAGCATTCAATGGATTCATCGTGCGGGTGCCGGGTCCATCGCTGTAGGGAGAGGAGCTTCAACATCGACTGCGACTTGCGACCCAGGCGTTAGTTTAAGGGACCCCTATCTAACGCGCGTTAAACGCTTACCTCCACTGTCCAAGCTCCTCTCCCTATCTAACCAAAAAGTCGCATAGTATATCTGAAAAATATTACTTTCATTTAAATGAATATTGATATACTTTTTACATTTCATTCAGATGCAGACACAGCAAATTTTAGACAAAATAGTTACAGCAGCGAACCCATCAATTGCGACCGCTTCACTAGGACAGGCATTGGCTACTGAGAAAAAGTGATGACAAAATATAATTATATAGAAAACTTGATAATTATGTAAAATAACATCTAATATGAGTTATATGTATATATTTCATTGTAAAATTAATATTAGTAGTAGATAAAATGTAATATTTCATGGTTTATTGTAAATATTTTGACATAAAAGTAGAATATTTTTGATATACCTCAATTTTATGTAATATTCTTGACTGTGTAGTGTATTGACTATAAAAGTTATGAAATCATATTACTTGTTTGAATTTTATTAGGAAATATCTATAATGTAATTAGGAAATATCTATAATGTAATAAATAGATAATTTATTTAGTATTCTTTTGGTGAACATAGTATTATATTTTTTATTACACCTTTACATTTTTATTCATATTTTCAAAAATATACAATAGTTTTTATTTTAATATACATCTGAATATATCCCTTTCACATAGAAACCAGTAAATACACTAAAAATTAAGAAACGAATTATAAACCTGGAAATGCTAAATGCTTCTTATAATACATATTGATAATTTTTTACATATCTGTGGAATGCAAGAAAATATTATTGTCTATTCAAAACCTAATTACCTTGTAAATTGATACAAAAGAAAAATATATTTATCTATATTAAACACATTTTTATGACAAATATGTGAACAAAAGTAACATGAGGTAAAAGTACATAGGTAAGAATCAAAAATGAAAATAATAATTAAAAGACCCGTAAATTTAATCGGTAATTCATTTAGCTCTATAAATGAAAGTGGCACATCACTAGCTTGCGACTAGACAAGATGTACCAACATTGCAACTTATTTTCAGATCGGAATTTGTTATTTCTGTAATAGTCATTTGGATGACGTCCATCTTTTACAATATAATTACATATTAACTACAAATATAAATATTCCTTTCCCTTTCCTTCTATTTATCAATTAATATTTTCACAGGAATTTGAAAAATGATTCAGAATTAAGGGATCCAGAGGACATATCCTACAACAATTCCGTCAACGATGTGAAATTTACTTTGTATGAATTAATAAAGAACATTATATCATATATATGTTACTTATTTTAATTATGAAACAATGAATACATAAATACAACTTTTATAAATTGAATAATCTTTACAGATACTATTTACATACAACATTTTGAATTTGGAATTCAGTTACAAAAAAGCTGACACTAATTTCTTTTGCTTGTCAATTTGACGTTTTATTTTGACATTGTCATGTGTGATGAAAAAAACGATTATTTTTATTTCTTATGAATATATTTCTTTAACATAAACTCTATCATCTAAGTGAGGTGGTTCGGGAACTATGAGAGGTTGTCCGTTCATCTTGATGTCTTTGTATGACGCTTTATAATAACAAGTATACCCGTACCTCTCGGCAGCCATTGCTGAAAACGCGCTTGAAGTGTCTAGTCTTAGTAATCTAATATTCTTCTGCTTTACGGCTTTTCTGAAAAGTGTTTATATTTTAAATTTATATTTATTAAATTAATAAATTAAAACAGGACATACATTTTATTAACTTGTTGGGTTAAAGCAAAAAATGTACTCGTTCAGTTTTTGTTATATAAATATATTGTTTTATAAATACGACTTTTGTGTTTATGAATTCGAAAACGTTAATATAATAATGGGAGGTCTATAAAAGTCATTAAGCAAATAAAATTAATGTAGCAAGAAAAATAGTTTTAGTTATATTTACTCAGTTTCTTCTATCAATGCTTTCATGATGCCTTTCTTTCTCCATTTCGGATCTGTGGCAGCGACTTTTACTTCAACAATTTCGTTGTCGTTTGGAAATTTCTCCCACAGTTTGGCGCCATTTTCCCTCTGTGCTAATACATATAATATTTTTTTAAACTTTGGATTTTTGCATTGCTGTGCTTGATTAAATATCTCGTCATCCTGAAAATATTTAATTAGATTTAAAAGCGACAAAATATTGGTTTCTTATTAATAATCCTAAAGATATATAATGTTTGTTTTTTTTACTATTTGTGTCAAGTTTTGTCAGTGCTGCCCTCTTTTTGATTTCATAAGAAACTTTAATTTGACAAGTACGTCTTTGTAGGGATGGAGACCATATTTTAAATAACCAACAAATATTTATGTTATAACTTACTATAAGTACAGTACCGTGTGCGTACATTTTGTACTCTATCACATGCATTCGCTATCTTTATTATCAATCACAATGGCTGTTAACAATCAGTCGTATTGATATCGTGATTTTTTAATCATATCATTTACAAGGTAATATTTATCAACCTAAGGTTTGAAATAATAAATATTTTAAACTTAAAAGTCTCTGAATAGTTTTTGTATATATTATGAAGTTGTTGAAAATGAACTTATTAGTCTAGAGCACTAGTTTTTACAAAAATATCTCATAATTAGGAATTTTTTTGAGTTGAGATTTGGAATGGGTATTATTTTTATTATATTACTAGTTTTTGCCCGCAACTTCGTCCGCGTTAATTTCGTCATTAGAAATATAAATATAGCTAACGGGCGAACTCTATTCCTTTTTAGAAGCCATAAATAACCAGGTATTGATATTTATTAAATTTTTCCTATTTCAATCGAAGACAATAAAATATTCTATGTCCGTCTCCTTGTTCTAATCTATCTCTCAAACAATTTTAAAACAAATCCCTACAGTCGTTCTTATTCTTCTTCCTAGCAATTTCCCAGCTTTAGCCAGAGTCTGCCTTGCATGTTGTGAATAGTTTTGGTTTTAAACCCTCTTTGGGAATGCATTAATCAGTGATGTCTAAATACTATTAGAAAGTACATATGTCACTATCACAAAGGATCACAAAAGTAAAGAAAGTTCTCGCGCATGTAGTAATCGTCACTCACAAAGGTAGATGGATCCACTCATGGAATATCGTAACACAATATCGTCAATCCTAATACTTTTTTCTTTGTTATGTTTTTTTATTTATATTTTTGGAGTTTACCTTTATTAGCCATAAATCTCAGTGTTTTGAAGTGCGACAAAATGATTGACATATTAGTTAGTTGTCAAATATAATGTCAAAAAAAAACATTTGTATGGGAAATAGAAAAGGGCTGTTTTTAAGGTTTTCCCGGAAATTATTAATTTTTTTCAGCTTTTAAACCTTTCCTGAACCTCCACGAAGATTTCAAGACTAAGATAAAATAAATCCGTTCAGCCGTTCTCGAGTTTTAGTGACACTAACGAACAGCAATTCATTTTTATATATATAGATAGATAAAGATACGTTTATTTTAATGTAAGTACAAAAACAGGAAAAAAATACTTTATGAACGAATATTATTGATATAACGATATTCAGTTCATATTAAGTCCATGATTTGATGCTGATAAAATCTAAAATGTATTATTGTTCCCGCACACGAAAGTGAAGTTTCAATCTATATATTATATACAATTTAACACACATCTGATAGTAGTTTTACATATTATATGATACAGCTTCTATTTTACGAGAAAATTAAAAATGGACATTGTGTTAAATATCGTGTTATCGGACTCGAGTTTTTTCATTTTACAATAGTAAGTAAAAATAACAATAAAAATGTGAATCAAATATAAGTACCTACGTATTATTTTTCATTGTAATTTTCAATGAAATTTATTGCATCTTATTCTTTCCTATAATCACACATTACTTGACAATCAAATAAATAAAAACATACCATTTTCAAAGGACATACTCCATTGATCATGGCTCCGATAACATTTCCACCGCGATCGATAGCTTTGAAGGATATTCCACTTAGGAGTGAACTGGTGCAATAGTCATCGAGTTCCTGACAAGGGTCTGACTCTGAAGTACACAACCCTACAGCTTGATTCAAGGGTTCATCTATATAAAAGGTCCTGTAACGAAATATCACATCATTAGGCATTTTTTTATAGTCTTTTAAACGACTATGCACGTTAATTAGATTTAAAATTTTCAAACTGCGTTTTTTTATACTCATTGTTTGTGTTATGCCAAGGTTGTAATTATACAGCCGTTGTATGCATATATAAAGATAATTGATTTAATTGATGGTATAAATAAACGGTTGAAACTGTCCACGTATGTAAATGTCGCAAATTCATATAAGTATGTTAAATATATATATTTTTTAGTCATCATATGTTTTTACAATGTTGCCATAATAATAATTGTAAGATTTGATGAAGGTACCTCTTTTTTCAGTTAATATATTAACTATATATGATTATTCTATTAATATTTCATTTGTGGAAAAAGTATAATACGAATTCATTACGTACTTAAAATGCATACTTATCAGGGTTTTAAAATTAGTAGTACATCAATCTTTAATAATAAAAATCGTACTTATGTATGTTTTTCTTTTATCGAATGTTCTTTGTTACCTTATTCCAATTAAATGGACAAACCTTACCCCTACTAAACTTATCCCAATTTTGCATCGTTACACTCCATTGATCGTTTCCATATTTCGTACATAAACCCACTTTGAATTTCATATACGAAGATATATTATTAAATACTAAAAATGAGTCGTATGTATTGTATGTTTATACTTTATATATTACCTTTTAACTAACGACATAACAGCCTCAGCATCTTCTGCTGTAATAAGATTTATTTCGTAGAAATTACTTTCTTCCATTTCCTGCAAAAGATTTGTACTCATTTAAACTCTATTTTTTTACATGTTGTTGGTAATAAGAAATCATTATTTGTACTTCAAGTTCTTATCTGAGTTTTTTCTAAAATGTTTTAAACTTCTTTGGAAGAGATTTTTTGAAATACTATTGACTTCGTACGCACTGACAGTGTCGAATATTTTGCTAATTTCCATACTAAGTACTATCTGTTTGACGAATCTACTCACTACTATCTTGAGTACTGTGTGTAGGAAACACGAAGAAGTTTTTCGAATGGAATGAAGGTGTTAATTGAAGAAAATTCAAATATTAGTACATAATTCTATCTATCATTATGACATTAATTAAAATCATCTAACAAAAACCTTTTGCAATAATATAATAAAAGCAATTCTGATGAAATATCTTTATGTTAATGCACAATTTATTTTGTTTGCAAGGTAAGGCAAGATAAGATATTGATCTGTTACTCTCTAGTATTCAATATTTGCAATAAATAATATGCGTTACTGCTATCAGTACAACTTATACCTAAATATTATTAAACTAGAAAAAGCATGTTAAGTTATTTCATGTATTAATTTTTATAGCTTCTGAATGAAAAAAACCCATTCGATCATTGTGTTCGTGAAATATTCTTAAAGAAATTCCTTTTTTTAAATTTGATCTAACACTAGTTGTTTAATTAAACATATAATTATATTAATTTTATTTGAATAAAAGGAGTTCGTATATCGAAATTATAATAGTAACTTGACTTAGTATTGGGCCTGCTGTCGTAATTGTATAGTGTACAATATGTAAATAATATTTTAAGATTATTCTTAAGAGGCTCATGGATACATAGAGAAGAAGAAATATTTTAAATTTATATAGAAATATGGTTAAATATAAGATTATTTTATTTATGTAGGTTTAATTTGAGATATCACATGTATTATCTAAGTATTGAAAGAACGATAAGCTTGATACTGTACATGATTTTAAAGTAATATAAATATTATTTACCCATACGAATGAATAAAAGTTATAAACATTTGTACTTCATGTAGTATATTGCATATTCAAGAAACCGATACAAACCAAGTATAGGACATAGCATTTACCTACATATTTTATGGTTATATTTACATAATAATTACAAGCTTTTCATACTAGACAATTACTAACTGCGCATTTGTATTCCAGAAACATTGTTTTTTTTTATTTGGACAAATAGATAACAAATAGCATCACGTATTAATTGTTTTGTTATTAGATAATAATTTGAATAAAACTTTATTAAATGATGAGTTAATAGAACGAAACTGTTTTTCTTGTTAATACAGTAATAATATTATTTTATTTACATACCTTATCAAGAATTATTAATTATGTTTTGTAAATATATCTCCGTCACCCGCTTCATCGGAGGCCCGCGGCCGACTAGTTTTTGGACGGTAAAGTAACGGTGTGTTAAATATAGCCTATAGGATTTGTTGAGGACATGTACTTATCGATTGAGATAAAAACATATGTACTTATGCTAAATATAATACGAAATAATTACTTGATGAATTCAATTTGTATTCATTCAAAAATTTACTTTGTTTACGACAAAAATATCAATCATATTATACGTAAGAATGTAATCATGTAATTTTTTAAGGTTAATAAATAAGGAAAAAACTTTATTTGTTAAGAACAACTTTATTAAATATTTATACAACTAAACATTATTTAATGAATCATCATAATGATTTTGTAGATAGCTGAAATTGATAATGAATACTTTATCGTATACAAAACAAATAAAAAAATATTAATAAATAGAAGGAACTACTATTTAACTACACTTATCAAGTGCACTTTAAAAGCAGATCACAATTCGTAGAGCAATTGCACGCGGTAACAGATTTGCTATTTTATTTCTTCAGGCGTCACAAGCGCATTAATGAACATTGTTGTCGATAAATACCTTAAATCTTAGAGATTTATAATTTTTATATAATTTTACTTTTTGGTTCAACAAAAAATGTATCACAGTTATTCCTAGTCAATATATACATTATTATTTTAATATTATAATTTCATTTTTTCAAAGAAATGAGTTTTGACGATAAAATAGTTGATACTACAGAAATATGATTACGTGAACAAGCTTTGACAGATTCGAAGAAGCAGATTTACTCTATTTCATATTTTTATATATACAACTAATTAACATATCTTATTAATATAACCAGAAAAGAGAAGAGTTCCTCAAAGACTAATAACTTAGGAATGTGGGTCCACAAGTATCTGTAAGAAAAAAATATGTATTAAAGTAACATTCTACTAAAAATTAATCGTCAGAAATAATGTGTACTGTCATTTCTATGTACTTTTACTATACAAACAGTAGAAATCTTTCATTATTTCATTAATTTTTCTCAATTATTTACGACTTTTGTTGACTTTTACAACAATTCAGAACTATTACCTTACAATTCCTTGAGGTAGACCCTGGCTTCAAGATGAGGAGGGTCTGGATGTGGTGCGTAAGGCAGGTCTGAGTAAAACAAACCGTAGACATTTTTGTAGTTGAGTCTCTCAGCAGCGGCCGCGGAAAACGCCGAGGTCGTATCCATACGCATTGCGCCGGCGCCGATTTCTCTAGCTATCCGCCTGTATTAATTCGATAATGTCATAATTATACAAGAAAATTAAGAAAAACAGTCTTATTTAAAATCTATTGTCGTCTTGTTATTGATAACTGAAGAAACTCGATTCATTTGATTATTTTATTATCTTTGTTTTGTGGAATATTTTAAATACTACGAAAAATAACAGAGCTAAGATAGAAAAGTTAACATATCAACTATAAAAATAAATAAAATTGGACTGCTATTTGTAACATTTAAATAACCGTTTTTTAATACATGTATATTAATATGTATACGGTATATAGGTACACCAAAATAACATTTTTTATAATTTTTGTCTGTCTGTTTGTTCCGTCAAATCTTTGAAATTGCTGGACCGATTTTTACGAGACTTTTATTGGCAGGTAGCTGATGTAATAAGGAGTAACTTGTGCTACTTTTTATCTTGGTAACAAAGTTAAACGTTATCACATTTGAGCTGGACGCGTTCGCAATGCGGCTCTTAAATTTTTTTCATTATATTTTGTTTGTTTACACTTTTACGCAGAAGGAGTCGCGGATGATAGCTAGTTTAAAATAAACATAGAGATCTGTGTAATCGAAAAAGTGGTGTTCATTTTAATGAAACATTTAAATGAAGTATGTAATATATATGCGTTCCCATATAATTCTGTTCGCAGGAAACTAATTGTTTTCACAAATTATTGTTGCAATAAACTATAATTACGAATGATTTAATAACGAAGTCTAAATCCAGGTCACTTTATGTCTATGAATTTAAATTAATACAAAGCATTATGTGGTGCAAGATACGAGTTACTGACCAATGAACAATGTTTCACTGTTTTTATTGGTTAATAAGACTTTTATTAAAGAAGTTTGCTTTATAAATTCATTGAATTAACTTGTATTTTATTGTTTATTTCATTTCATATAATTACAGAAAATTCTAAACATAAAGCGATTTGATTTATTTTAAAGTTTAATGTACCTATGAAAAAAAAGACGACACTTTGACACTTTGTCACTTTGACAACGAATTATAAGTTGGTTACAAATTTAGTGATTTTTAACTAAAGAATGCATTAAATGTTGCAATTTAAAAAAAATACCTTCAGAGTGCAACGGATAAGTCAATCAAGACATGAATTTGAACAAGGTCCGAATAAAAAAGACCCAAGTTATACGTAAATGTTATTGTCTGAAATTATTTCATGTAATTATAAATAAATATTATATTATAAATTTACTATGGATGGCATAATATTAAGTAGTCTTTAATAAAACCTTTGATAATAATCAATACAAATAGTAATAATTGAATTAAATGAATGAAATTATAAATATATATTTTTGTAATAAATATTTGTAACGGTCGTAAAAATATCAACGAAACTAAAAGTTAGTTAGAAATTAAAGTTTAGTATAATTACTTTTAAATTGCTATTATTATATTTATATTGAAAATTAATATTGTTATTAAATTATTTGGTTATTTTGAAGCCATTTTAAGTGTTCCTCATATAATTTTGAAGTAATATCTATGTGCTTTGTACCTACAATTTATTAGCGTTACACCGTAAAATATAAATATTATTCTGATCTACAAAAACATTTTCAATGATGTTAGTCTTCATTATCGAAGTCACAATTTAAGCAAAATATAATTTAATTAAACTGGTTTTCATCGATCGACATAACATTTATCACGTTGAAAAAACAGTTATTAGAAGAAGTTCATAATATAACAGTTGAAAGAGAAATTTATTTGAAGTCTCATTATATATAATCAACTAATTATGAATAAAAAATGATATATTGTATGTACAGATGCACTCAGTATCGTTTGTTGTCAAGTTATCTGTACATAAGGATTATTAAATTAAAAAAAGGTTTTACTATATACTACATATTGTTTTTATGGTCAAATAGGATATTTCCAATCACAGAACTACTTATATGTTTGCTGAGTGGAAATGAACACGCCGTTCTTGACTCGTGACAATACAAAGGAAGTACATGTGATATATTTCCAGGTACGACACTCGGAAATAAATTAAAATTAATTTCAAGTTGGAAATAATAAGTATAATTTTATAAAAGACAATTCAATATGTTTTGTTTTAATAAACCGTACGATGTCATTGCTATTCATACTTGGATTGCGGAACTTTAAATAAATATTTGAGAATTAAAGCCGCGATATTAAAAAAATATCAATTTCTTTTTATTATTATCTGTGGGTATTTAAAAAACGTTTTAAAATTTATATAAAGTTTCAGATGTTACCGCGGTATATTTAGTTAATATCTTGTATTTTACAGCCATCTTTAATTAAATTCGAAAATATCGTTTAAAAGTCAATCACTCATAAGTCACTACAATTATAATCATATAACTCAAATAAAAAAATTGTTTAGGTATACCTACCTATACTTTCAAATAATTTTTTTTATTACTTTTCATCAAAACCCAAAGTCGAAAATACAAAAATAAAACGTCAATAGCAATAATAAACGTCAATAGAAATAATAAACGTTCCCGTCACAATAAACAGATAAAAAATAAATGTAAAATCCTGCTAAATATCTTAAATGTATAACATATTGTAAAGTAAATTATTTGTTATTTATATTATTCAATTGTTCAATTGCAGCTCTCACATGTGTGAAAACGTGCACATTATATTCTGCCACGAACTTTTCACGAACAATGACAAACCTTTTTCATGAAGGACAAGTTAATGGCACGTATTATTAAACGACAATTGGAAAGTAACTTAAGATTAATAGCAAATATTGTACTTAAAAATGTGTTTTAAGAAAATAGTTTTATATAAGTACGTTATATCAAAATTTTGTTGTATAGTAGAATATTAAGGTTAGAAAGAAAAATCAATTATTAATTTACCGAATTTATACAACTTTGATGTCTTCTTGAGCTATAAACTATATATATAAACCTAAAATGGCTTATGTTTTGTTATAGAGTCACATATTGGCTTTGTAACATGTTCATCATCGGCTGAAGTCATACACGATCTTTTTAACTCGACATAAATCATTGCATTGACATTGACAGTGGCAATGACATTACTAGCTGTCACGATCACGGTCACACGTTTAGAATTGTATTGAAATTTCACAATAATGTTAATAACATATGTATATTATATTTGTATTGTTTTTTGATTTAATATTATAATAAATTATAACGATGGTCATTTAAGTATTTTTATTATTACACAATGGATATCTTGAAAACAACAAAACAAATTAATTGTCATGTCTTCATAAATTTGCGCTGTACATAATATGAGGACAATGATCTTTTAGTGTTGTGACCCAGAAAGTTGATAACATAATAGCAACACTTCTTGGTGGTCATTTACTGCACCACTTATGTTTAACCATTTGGTTAATTTAAGTTATTGTTTGTAATTAAGACCAATCCGGTTAAAATAAACAATAATTAATTGCTCTATAAACTTACTCTCCCGGATTTTTAAAGTTTATTTTTACGCTTATTTATTTTACAAATCTCTACTTAAGGGAGCAATTCAGTAAATCTTTTATAGGTATTCTTTCAGTAGAAGAGCTGTGTAAATACAAAACTTCATCCAAATCAGTGCTGTTATAATAGCTTGATTAAGTTATTTTACGCATTAACTAATTAATTGAACAATCATCGATACCTTATCCGTAATAGTTAATTTCTATCGATATAATCAATCTCTAACTGTCAGTTTAACGTCACGAACAAATGAAATACAGCCAAAGAAATAAAATCTTCATAAATATTACTGAATTTTCTCATAACTATTAGATCTTCCAGATTTGTTTATTAACTTTGATAAAAAATAACAATAAAAGGACTAGTTCCTTGTTATTATGTTAATAATTTATAACACCTTATCCACTTTTAATTGAATATAATTCTTCTAGAACGTTTTGGTTGTTAGGTATCAAGGTTGCAACACCAATCAGTGTTTTATAAGAATAGATGTAAAACAATTATTTCCTTATCATATCAGAAAATGTCGCGATTTGTACACGCCAATTATAAAGTTATATGCGGAATTCAGTTCAATATTAGTTGTACTGCCGCCTAGTGACAGGGCGAGTTGAAAAAAAATGTATTCTGCGTTTCAATTATGCATTAAATATTGTTTTGTTATTATACTTTATTGTTTCATATAAATATTTTAAATACCTTACTTATATTTTAAATACCTTGCTTATATTTCGTTACTTATTAATGCTTGTGTATATGTAAAATATGTTTTTCCAAAACAATATATTTTGGTTTTAGGTTTAGTTTGAAGTACAATTTTCGTTGATGTATTTTTTAAGTCTGTTTTTGTGGGAATTTAAATTGTTATAAAAGCAGTGTTTATTGTCTATATAGCTGTACAATACAAATGGATCGTCTCAACCAATAATATTTATATCACTACTGTTTTTCGTGTGTAGACTGTACACATTTAAATGAAACTACAGTTTTCATATACTACGCTTTTTTAGCGAAAAATCAAAGCGAGAATACAATAATAAAAAACGTTTAGTGCTTCAAAAACTTAGTTTGATTTAAACAGTAAAAGTACTTAAACCCAGTTTGAAACTTTGCATTCAACCCGATACTGTTTTAGATTGTAAATTGTTAATAGATTTAATCTCAATAGGAACTTACATCTTAAATAAGATAATATTCACTATGTTATAATAATAAATACGTGTTTTTTTAACTCACTCTGATTCTTCAACGAGGACTCTCATTAAGCCTCTTCCTCTCCAATCCGTGTGAGTTGAAGCTATCCTTATCTCGACAGCCGTGTGACAGCTTGGTGGCAGCTTATCCCATATCCTCGCTTCACGGTCTAAATGTCCCAACAGCTTGAGAATCCTCTTGAATTTAGGATGTGGACAGTCTTCGGATTTATCCGTGTAATCTACCTCCTGTGGCAAATGACCGGAGTTTATTTAAAATAGCATAATAGAAGAAACCATATTTGTATGAATTAACATGGTTTTTGGAATCAAAAGGAAATTAATATGAGAAATAGATTTTTTACACTTTAACATTGACTGTGAATAGGTTAACGAATTCTACAAAAGTAATATGCAATAATTAATTTGTAACTTGTTCATTGAAGTATGAAATGGTAATTAATTGTTTAAATCATAATATAGATACTTTTTTGTTAACTCTAGTGTAATTATTATTGTCTATTGGTGAAGGAGCCCCCAATTTATTTCCATATGCCCTTGTTACAAATTACATTAATTTACTGTAACAAAGGAATAAATAAATCAGTTAAGCGTGACTCGAACCTTTAATCCTTGGACTGACAAACTATTAATTCCGCTCTAATTTTGATCCTTCATTATAATTTATAAGGAATATTATAAAAATCAAAGAAATAATTAATAAACCTATTAGGTAATTACCTCTGATTTTATTCTAATATTTTGATTTGGACTAAAATGCTTTATATTTAAAATACTTTTTATATATATCTTGGGTCATGACTTCATTACGAAATTGAGTTAATTCTATTCCACGAGATTATATTTATGATACAAGCATTTCTCTGTAATACGCTCTTAATAATTATTTTGTATAATATGGACAAAATACTATAGAAACTAAGTAACATATAGAAAAATCAAAAAGTTTGTTATTCAGACACAATTACTTGACACAAAAATGTATAAACTATTCTTTTCTTAGACTTATAAATTAGTATAACATATAAATATATTGTTTAAACTTATTTTATTTTCGTTATATCTTCTATATATATAAAAATGGATTGCTGTTCCTTAGTCTCGCTAAAACTTGACAACGGCTGAACCGATTTGGCTAATTTTAGTCTTGAAATACTCCTGGAAGTTCAGGGAAGGTTTAAAAGGTGAGAAAAATTGATTCATTACTGGGAAAACCATAAAAACAGCCCTTTTCTATTTCCCATACAAAAGTTTTTTTTGACATTATATTTGACAACTAACTAATATGTCAATCATTCTGTTTGATTGAAACAGGAGAAACCTGATTATTAATGGCCTCTAAAACGGAATAGAGTTCGCCCGGTCAGCTATACATATATTACTAATGACGAAACTAACGCGGACGAAGTCGCGGGCAAAAACTAGTACTTTATAATAATCAATACATTTATTGAAGCGATTATATTGTAACCATCAATTATTTATTACCTACAGCACACAAATAATTACAGTGGTGACAAATCATTATTAAAAGTCACATAGCGTCCGTTGAAATGTTCGTTTAATCAACACCTGGGCGGAAGTATTAGACCTGTAAGGATTAATAGCGTTTGCAACTGAGCGTTTTTTTATGGCGTTTATTTAAACGCTTGTTAATACAGTATGAACAAGAATTATTTCTTTAGCGGTCAAAAAACGACTTAAGAAATGTTTGTTTGTAATACCAATATTAAATGTAATTATATCTTAGTAATTTCGTCAGTATACTCGTAGAAATTTGGTGCAATTTTCAGAAATTGTAAGCAGTCAGAAGAAGAAGAATTAGTAATTCCGATTGCAGTATCTTTAGCTTTTGCTCTAAGCTTGACTCGTCTTATTAAGCTATTAGTATAGTATGTTAGTATTACTTAGCGAGGAATGCCTTAATCTGTCCTACTATAATTATCTATTCGATTCGTGAAGTTAATGATTGCTATAAACTGCGATTAGAAGGGACAAGATCATTTCAAACAGGTCTATCTGAGTCTAGTTGAATACCCTACAATTTTGTTCTCAGTTAACGAATAATCAAAATGTTTTGCATGGCAATAACAATTTGCACTTGATTAATGAATTGTTTTAGAAACGGTTTATATATTTCTAAGTATTGATTATACATTTAAATAATTATAGTCATATAAAAAATATTCTTTAGAACGTAGTACTGACTTTTCATATGTGAAAAAAAATAAGTTTTTAAGTGTGATATTCTATTATATTAATATTTTGAATCTTTGTATAAGTAAAAGACTATACCTCTGTAATTAAACTATCGTTGAACTAGTTGAAAAGAAATAAATATGTTTGACTAACACACAAATCACAACATTCTTTGTAATTAAGAAATGTTTGTTTACAAAATTTATCTTGTTTCGTTGGACAGGATGTTAACCAACCTCTCGTCTAACAACACCGTTGATGACCATTCCCACGAATTCTCCGTTCTCATCAACAGCGGCCACTGAAGCTCCATCAGCTAGGCTGCTGGATGTGTAATCTTCTAACTCGTAACACCGGGATTCTGGCGTCTCCAATAAGTTGATTGTGAAGTTCAAAGGCTCGTCGCGAAAGAAGAATCTTATGAAAAAACGTGTACTTGAATATGATTTGTATCACAAGGATATTAAGTCTGAATTTTGGTAATCAACACTTATTTCCCGTTAAGGAAATTGCGATGAAAATGACTTCCAAAAACATCAAGCATTTTTTCTATCAGTTTTATTGAGGATATAATTTCGAATTTCCGAATAAAAAGGATGTATTGAGAAAATGTATTTGAATGAGCTTTTCTAAGATAGCTTTCCTAACTGATTTACCTTCTCATAAACTCAATGACGCCGTCTCTATCCTTGGGGGTGAGTCTCCTCAGGGTGTATGGAATAGCCATTTTACGAGGACGGAGATTAAGTTCCGACAGCTGCGCCGGCAATTCGTCGGCGAGCTGAAAATATATCATGAAATAAAGACACACATAAAACAAAAAACAAAAACGATAATAATCTTCTAATTATTGATGAATAAATTTCAAAGTACAAAATTATATAGATAAATGAAAATGACTTGTAAAAATGAACTTATCATAAGGAACACCAACCAGTAAATAATCTGAAATGAGCTGACGGGATGTCATCGGTGTAACCCGATATGGGGAACAAATATGACAATATTATTTGCACGTTACTCATCTTTAATTCAGCGATGACTCCCAACGTATGCACTTGTTAAATTTCAATTCTAAATTACCCTTATGACGTCAAAACTTGTGAAGCATGAGTGATGTGCATTATTGGATCCTTACATTAAATAATATGTAAGATTTAGGAGTGTATTCATTTAAATAAAACTAATATTTTCAGATGAAGGTACTATCGTATTTTTAAAGATTTCTGCCTGTGATCACGGTTGGTGCAAGTAACCGAAACGTTTGGAGTATGTAGTTTAAAATAATACTGCAAGTAAAAAATGCAAGGATTTTTAGTAAATTAAAATATAACTTCATTTATAAATATCAAAGAGAAGTGTCTTTAAATTTATAATCTTATACTACGAAAACTTCTACATACATCTCATCGATAAATTTAAAAACGAATTTGTATTTAAAACCAATCATTATTTTTTTTACTACAGTTCTGAGTTTTGATTTCAAAATAAACATTTTAAGATCATAGATGGCGCTGTAAATATTAATATGAATGATTAATTGCAACTACGGAATGCAAAATCTACAATCGAGATTATTATTCATTGTGCCTCTCTCTTTGCACCCTAAATTACAAAATGTCGCAGATCGTGACCGGTCAGTTATCATTATAGTTTAAATGTTATTAAACAAATCAGCCCTTTAAAGCCTTGTTAATAAACTCTATAATTGCTTAAATATATAACAGCGAGTTGTTTATTGTCAGCCTTTATAAAGTAGGTTAGAGTTGCAGTAACTTGTGTTTGCTTGTATTTGCATTTTGCTTTGTTGTTACATTTACAATGCGATTAAGTACTTACCGTTCCTCGCATTTTCATTCATGAAAACATATGATGAGTAAAATAACATATTTATATGTATAATCTGTTGTACTATTATCATTTTACTGTAAATGAAATGTGTATTTTTAGTGAGACAAATAATGATACATTCAACCTAACATAACTTTTTTATTTTTTATTTCATTGTCTTAACCTTTACAGAATTTTAAAACAGCCACAGATTATATAACATATCATGAAGCATTACAAATTATAAAGACTCTTTTGTTATTGGTCTGTCATTTTAATAATAATGGAAAAGACAGAAATTTTCAAGATGTATGCTTTTTCATAGTCTAGCAAAATGATTTGTCATCGTTTCGAATATTTAAATTAAATAATATTTTTAACTAATTCATAATTTGCATACATTATATGTGACCGTGAAAATGTATTATTGTGATTTTGACATACACATTGTATTTTATGTATTTTTATCGTTTATTTAAACGTCGAGTACGTACATATTGCTGTATTGAATGTATGAAACGACTAACATGTCAGTTTGATGAAAACTCCTACTAAAGATTCATGATGAAAATATTTGTCATTATATGCCCAGCTGCTTCTCATAAAGAATATCGAATTGTAATTATTTATAATTATTTATAGTAGTATTTCATGATTACAAAATTTTCAAAGATTAAGCGAAGTATATTAAGGTAACACAAATAGAATATAATTTTATAAGAACAACTAGGTATTTAAACTTAATAAATTTCTAAACATTAAAACAAATGTCTTATTTAGTAGAAATATATCTCGCTTTAATTATTCAATTGTTGTATTAGTAATGTACATAAAAAAATATAATCCATTATAACAAAATGGCGCGGAATATATGTCATATGTTTAAGCATGCATTGTATGCAATATTGAAACAGTGTTGCTATTATATGCATATTTCTCGACATATTTTCATGCAGTATTTAAGCAATGCTTATAACGCAATTCATGCGCGCTAATGCAATAATGCGTGCAATTTATGAATTGCTAACTCAATCGAATTCATTTACGAGTTAAATGATTTTTATAATAAAACTACAGATAATTAAAATGGTTATTTAAATTTGAATATTGTTATTTGTTTTATTAAGGATTATTTTAATGATTTAATTTTAAAATATTCTATATATAAATTTATTGTTTAATAGCAATATTATGTAACTAAATTATGCGTCTCGTGATTAATATTCTGATAAAATCAAATGTAAATAGTACGTTATCTTATTTATTTGTATTTATTGCACTATTGTACTCATATATTATATAAAATCTTAGTATTTATATATGTTTTACATTAATTTATACATAAGATAACCTTTATATGATGTTTCGAGTACACGATGATATCTTAGATTTGTACGAGTTTTCATTTAAATGAAATTTATATTATCGGATTTACTACTGCTTTGAGTACATTAGTTAGTAACTCTTGTTTTTTAAAAAATCTGTAATGCATTATAATCAAAATAGATTACTTTTAAAGCCTTTAGTTCAAATACATATATGTATACTATTCAGGCATTACAGTTACGAATACGAAATGTTTTCAGCATTTACATCTGAAATTTCAGTTTCAATATTATTTCAGAAACGAACTGCATAAGTAGCGTAAGTTTTCCCGTCTGCAGAGTTTTTGGGTCACAAATTAATTTGTAAAAAATTCAAGCGCGACTCTTTCAATATTGAGTTTGCATTTCTTGTATGCTTATTAAAAATGTTCTTTGAAAATAAAGTAAGGACGCTTTAACAAATACAATTGTTTTTAAATGTAACTTTTTAATAAATCCATATTGAATTACACATGGTACATATTTACCAAAATACAAGTTTTGAAAATATATCTCCGTCTGTCATTCCGGCTTATTTTCTAAAACTAATTGACCGATTTTGACGGAAAGTTAAATATTTTTTTTATTAATATTGTAAAAAATACTATGTCCAATAGTTATTCTTGTGAATGACCTGAAATTATTTATATTCAAAACAGAATTATTCATGAGTTTGTGAACCTTATTCCGATAAAGATGACTAAGATTTAAACGAGTGTCTCAAATGATGTATTTCTTATTCTTTTCAATATATGTACATATCTATTGTTTCATTATAATCATAAATGTATTTCCTATAACATCACGGAATTTAAATTTATCATCGCAAAATAATCGTTCTCTCAGGGATAATTGAGACAAGATAATTTGATAATGTCATGTCACCTCAGCTTCCGTAACAAAACTATTTTGTTTCATACTTCCGACGTAACGCGTTATATTAATTACGTAATTATCTTATATATAAAATTATATAAATATTAAGTCAGTGGTAGCCTGGTGGTTAAAAGGCCCGCCTCTCATGCATGAGGGCGCGAGTTCGATTGTGGCAAGTACCAATTTGATTTTTCCGAGTCATACATATGTATGTACTTCTAAGAGTATTAAGACATCACTGATTAATGCATTCCCAAAGAAGGTTGATGTCAGGCAGGCGGCCGGTCGTAAAAACAGTTAGCCAAAACTATTCACAACATCTAAGGCAGACCCTGGCTAAAACTGGGAAATTGCCAGGTAGAAGGATATCTTATATATAAAATTGTCGGTAACAATGTTTGTTCCCGAACAGCTTGACCGATTCTAATGAAAATTTGTAAGCATATTCAGTGGGTCTGAGAATCGGCCGATATCTATTTTTCATACCTCTAAATGATAAGAGTTGTTCACCATTAATTATTTTTTTTGATTTGTAGACCTCTTTTTTGTATTTTTTTTATAACGTAGCTTTAAAAATACATACAACCCAAAAAATGTTAAATTCCAAAACAATGTTTGCCGTGTCAGCTAATTAAATTATAATTTTACGTGAAAATATCAATATAATTGCATATTATTGCTTATTTTATATACAGGCATCTTTTATAATTGCTACATTCTAGATTGTTCTATCGTAAAATATGTTAGCTTTTATAAGTGTTAGCGAAAGGCGAGCATCGAACCGTGGACCTTGATCATGAACGAGGTCTACTGAGTCAATTGACCGGTAATGAAACAATAAACAATAAGAAAAATATTTATTTTTTTATACTAATAAGAATAAATAAGACTTAATTCGATTACGTAAGCATGACCAATCTAATCCAATATTCTCTAGTAAATGTAGACTTGTATCTGTTTAGACCAGTTTTGATCTAGATTTAACACACAGATATATTAATTGTTTCTTAAGACACATCTAGAACTTCATAATGACTGAACAGTTAATTCAAAAAGAATTAAAATTTAGTCGAAGTTAGAAGATATTTTGTTTTATGTAATAGTAGATTTTTTCGCATGCATAATTTGAATAGAGAACATATTTTTTAAATTCTTTTAAATGTAGAGAAACCTGGCATAGATCTGTTATTCTGCGGACTTATAGAACGTACGTGAACTAGTTTAACTTTTTCTGTTTTAATTTTATATTTCTTTTCAGCTTTGAATACAAACCCAACGGGACGTAAGTAGAATTATCTATTGTTATTTTTTTATTATTCAGAAGTTTTTCAGGAACGATTCATGATGAAATGAAAATGTTTTTTAAAAACAGTATTTACTTCTATAAACTTAATTAATTAATTAAATGTTTTGAAATAACTTTTACGAGTGTAGGTATACTGATGTTTGTTATTAACATATTTTAAATATTTAAGCTTTAAATTTTATTGATTTAAATCTTTTAATATATAAGCTTATTATATATATAAAGGGTAGTGAATAAAACAGCGATATCTATCGGTTCTTATAATCTAAACCGGAACTAAGACCGAGTTCATTCGAAACAAATAGGTATATCCTTTAACACAATGCTAGTCACGAAATCAACAGAACATTTATCGATTTATAATATAATGTTACTAAATATTAGCTGACGTATATTTAAAAATATATATTTTAATTTAACACCAAAAAAGGAATTCATATTAATAAGAATATTTAATAAAATTGTCAAAAAAGTATGTATACATCATTTGACTTTGACAGAATTTGACAGACGTCATTTTGAATTTTTTTTCTTTTTTAATTTCACTCGTTCTGAAGGGCCCTAATTTTATTCTTTCTGATTTGTGAATTTCAATATGTGATAATAGGGCATGTAAACTCGCATTAGCTATACACTTTGTCTTCGTATGGTCTAACATATCTTCGAGGTCGGGATACAATCTCTCTATTGTGTCATTTAAAAACTTTTTATTAACAACCTTGCAGTTTTCGAAAAACCGGTAAGTGGTAACGATTTAAAAATGTTTATATATCTTGAAAGTAAACAGGAAATCGTAGGCATATTCAAAAATATTTTTGTAAAATCCCACAACCCTAGGTATTATATTTTATTTATTAAAGATTTTTTTCTTTATTATTTTAGTTGCGGTTTATTTATTTTATGTTAAAAAATATTCTACGAGGTGAAAGAGGTTTTGTATTTTATAAACTTTTTGAATATTTTTCTTGAATTATGTCTCAATATAATTTATTCCAAATAATAACGTTTATGTTCTGAATAAGAAACTGTCGTATGGTTGTTATTTAACGACACAAGTTTATATTTTCACGGTTTTGTAATTTGAAATTCTACGGTCTAAATGTAAATATTAATTTTATTCAATTCTCTTTTGTTATACGGACTCCTTTGTGTACACTAGTTCTATAATTATATATATTTATATATTTTTTCATGTATGTTTTAGACAAAAAACGACTTCTATTTAATCTGTTACTAACATTTTAGTACTGTTGTACAAATACATAGTTTTTTTTATTAAAGGACGGGAAAGGCATAAAACACGAAAACTGTTTATATTATTCAAATATTATGTCTATAGAATAGCAAGTTAAATTTAACTAATGATTATATAAACACAGATAATAAATTTACTTATAAATTCTAATAAAGATATTGATAGAAAACTCATCTTCAAAAATTCATGGGTCAGCGTAGTTCTACGACGTAGACCAGATATGAATAAAATATCGTAGAGTTACTTATCATTATTTCTTTAACATATCTTTTTATTCATATTTTATAATAAATGAATAAATCGTTCGATAGTTTTATTATATGTAATATTATTTTATGTATATTTCAAATGGAGTTAATATTTATATATTTATGTAATTTACCGTATACTTGTCCATCCTAGTTTTTTCATGTTCAAAGTGTCCTTTCTCTTTCATATTCACAATGCTCCTTGCACTTGTAACTGCCATTTTGAATTAATAAAAAAAAAAAAAACAAAACGTCACTTTACGCGCGCGAATTCTCAATCTCAGCTCTCACGTGCTCCCAGATGGGATCGCGTCGAGATTCCAAGTTGGAATGGTTGCGAAATATCTGTTCTTTTATATAAAGCAAGAACAACGCTCAGCCCCCTCGCTCCTGTACCTTTCATATCCGTGCGAATTAATCTGGCTGTATGGGTGTAGGTGAGCGCGTTTGTAGTCAAACGCTGCATTGATTAAAAAAAAAAAAAATAGGTCAGTGACTCCTTTGTTTTTTAATAACCTTTTTGCTGTTATTTATACGTTAAAGTTATTAACTTAGGTTAAAGTAACTAAAAATTAGGTTTACTTATTTTTAGTATGAATATTTTTATATTACATAAAAGGATTAGTAATTATACTTCATACGACCTTAGATCTAAAAATAATTTGAATGTATTATATTTAATATACTAAATTAAGCATACATTCAATTATTTTTATTACTTAATTCACGCATTGACTTTCAAATTCTAATTATAAGTTTATTTATAGAATAAATCTGATTTCGGTCATGTGCTTTTTTTGTGAACTTCGCTCCAGGCATTCGATGGTCATGGACGATTTAAATATTTGACTTAGTGTTTTTTTTATAATTTTTATAAGAAGACTACAGGATATGAAGGTTTACTAATTTATTATTATTTATAATAAAAAAAAATGTGGTTCATAAACATCCTAAATATTTTCGCTTAACTTTTATAGGATTATAATGTCTTTTTTGTCAAATGAATTTCCTAATAAATAGTTTCTATACATGAACATGGATTTTATTCAAACATAAAATTGTATTATGTTGTAATTCTAACTAACAATTGTAATATTTTCATTCTATTGATACAATATTATATATAAATATAATGTTAGTGTAAATATATTATTAGCTAGTCAGTAAAAAATTCTTTGAAAAAATAGTCCTAGGTAACACAATTCAAAAACTTTGGTGTATAAGAAACATTATGATAAAAAAAAATTAAAATCGCATGTCAACAGAAATAATAATCATACTTGTTTAAAATCTTAATTTAACAGATGTATAGTAAAGTTATAAGTTTACTTAAATTATCTGTTTTCTCCTTCTTATCTTCACAAATGCAACGCCCTTTGAATAATTAGGCCGAAGTCCTCAATGACACAGTTGCGAACTAATTATAAAATTACATATATAACAATTAATATATTTCTCATATTTAAAATCTAGTAAATAGCAAAAAAAAAAATTTTTTAACTCATCTGTTATTTTTCTAAGCTTTTTATATGTATATTTACGTGACTTAAATTTCCTAATATTCCAATTACCCAGAATTTCAATTTCTATATTCCTTTAAAAAATGCGTAGGGTTAATAATATTGATGAAATAAAATATATTTTATGTTTCATAAAAATGTCTGACATTGAAACAGGTTAGACTGCTTTTACATTTTTCAAAATAAACGAAAGGCTTGTTCAATTGAAGGTTAAGGATTTATGCATTGTGAGACTTAAACTTTATACATAAAAAAAATGTTCGTTGTTATCTATGGAATGGAAAACATATGTATATCCTAGTGGTAAGTAAAGTATGTGGAATTATATTTTTTCGATTGTTTTTTATATCTATGACAAGAAAAAAAATAATAATTGCATGCTTTCAAGTAAACGGTTCGACACTTAAGGTTAACTGTAGGAACTGGCAACATCGTTTCTTGAAATCAACCAAAAGGATTGCCGGGTTTTTAAATGGCAAGTTTGTTTTTATCTTTGTTATTTAATCACGAGGGAATTTGTTATTTCTTAAAACACTACAATCTTTTGTTTAAGTATGTACATAGTTACTAAAAGTACTTCACATAAATTAAAATATTTTTTATCTACTAATTTGTTTCGGATTCAATTCACGCTTGAAGTGAATTAGTCAAGCAATGATTGGAAATTAAGATTCCAAGAATAGTATTTGAAAACCAATGGAAATTTTGGCTTCGATTACATTTGCTTGTTTCTAGAACTCTATAGAAGTTTTTATAGAGGTTTTGCGACTTTGTTTGTAGTACTAATAGAATATTATCGTTACGAAAAGACAAAAGTGAGCGGCTCAAAAAAATATAATGAAAAAATATTTTTTATTGTAGGCTCACTGATGAAAGGATATTTTTATTCTTTTTTTTGTTATTTATTTTTAGTTCAGGCTGAACTGAACTCAACTGTTTCTTTTAAAACAATGACATATATGAAGACTTTTATTATTATTATTACATATATATCTAGACATTTAAATCGATTATAGGGTTGTCAGCCCTATAATCGATTTTATTAATGATTTATATACCATCTTAATTGTATTAAAATCCTATATTAGGTACTGTAGTATTTTAATAAATCGTATGACAGCTATATGACCTTTAAGATTAATAATAAAAATAAAAGGTTTTATTTACGCCTATTTTTCTCTATACTTATTGTGCGTCTACTTGAATATACAAATGTTATATTAAAAATTTAATCACCAATGTAACCTACTAACTTTGAATGATAATACTCTTATTTATCAACAAGGATATTGCGACTGTATCCTGGGTTTATTATATAAGAAAAATGGATAAACCAATTCTTGGCTGATCTAGAGCCATCAGACAAAAAAATTAGCTTAGTGGCAGTGGCTTAAAAGTCAGCTTTGATAGCTGAAAACCTTAATTCTAAGAAGTTTTTATTTTAAGAATAGTTTTAGAATTTCTGTTTGAGCCATTCCTAGTTCGAACGAATTTTGTTTATGCGTATAAGACCGTCCTCATATTAAAACTGAAATAGATTTAAGGGCTTCAGTTCTCGGAAGTCACCCTTAAGTATGTATCGACTTCTTTGGACGATAAAGGCTGGTATTGATTACAAATATCGCAACTGTATCATATACACAGACGTGATACAAATATTATATACTTAGTTGAGCAAGCCGCAGTTTATTGACTACAATAGATTAACAATTAACAATGGGCAACAGGTGTGCACTATTAATATGTTTCGTAATAATACTTTTATCCAGATTTGTAATTGTAGGTGAAATGTGGTGATAAATTATTAATTTTGTATGTCTTTATTATATATATGTAGTTAATCTTTATTTGTGGGTTCTTAACTTTATCTGCGCACTATGTCAAGTTCAATTATTGTATTTACGCTATTAATAAAACAAATAAAATAGGCAATCAAATTGACTGTTTAAGACAGGACAAAGCTTTATTAAAGACTCGGTTTTTTAAGTAGACACCCATCTCCTGGAAATCTTTCATTTATAATATTATTTTTAAAGAGTATCTTATAAAATTCCAAGAGACTGGTTACTTTACGCCTCTGCTCAAGGCTGACGGGATTGGTTTTAATAAAATAAGCTTTTTTAAAGTATCCCCACAAATTCCAAAGCCGTAAGGTAATGTTATGCCTCGCGTTGCCTTCGGGATAGTTTAATATGTATAATTCAAACTGCTTTACAATTTATTACATTATTTTTATTTTAATTTATTAACATTCTTTTTTATTGTATCAAATCCATTCTTTGTAATCCGATGGCAAGCCCTATTCACTCCAAACTTCATTTAATTTGTTTTCATTTGAATTTAATTTGAATAAAATTTCCTTTCTGTCGCCTCCCAGCGCCACCATATGATATGTAGTAAATCTTAAAGAGGCTCTATATCACATCACATCACTTTTATTTTGGTAGCATTAAGTTTCACGACATTTTCATTTGTCCAATGGTCCAATGGACAATGGACAAATGAAAATGTCGTGAAACTTAATGTGACACTTGCAATAATTTTTCAAGTGTGAAAAAGCCCCTTTTTCCCGACTCTATTTGATAGGTGCGTAGGTAGCCTATTTCATAGTTTCACATGTAAAGCGAAAACTAGTAGCTAAAATAGCAGATCGTTAATTTGCAGAAAAAAATTGAGTTACAGAGAGATCATACGCCTGAAGATTTGATGTTGTTTTCAGATGAGCGGCAGTTAACGCTAAGACTTCTTTCCCAAAGAAGGTGCGGAGATCAGAAAATCAAAGCTAGGAATATGACATCGATAGACAGAATTTCACCCGTCAAATGATGCTGCGAGTGCATTCCTGTAGTTGCATGAATATGGTATGCACCAAAAGTTAACCAGTCGACGAATTTTGGTGAAATTTATTTTGTTTTTTTTTGTCAGTTTTTTATGTCATTTAGAGTAAGATACAAGGCGTTTTTTTGGTTTTTGTGTTAAGAAGAAGACTAATATTGTTAACGTAATATATCGTAGTATTGACATAGCGATTTTTACTACATTATTTAAAACATATAAATAGAATCCACGAAATATTTTACCCTTTTAAAGTAAAAGTTTGCACTCAAGTTTCGGAGGTCAGTTTAAATTTGATTTAATTCAAAAATATGTTTTTGCGATAACAGTCAGGGTGAACGAGTGTCATGATCAATCTTATTTTATATTTAGCGATATAATCAAAAGCTTAAGTATTCTTTTATAATTATTGCTTTTGATACTACTGAATATACGTCTCAAATTTTATACACCACCATATATATACATATAGTTTTAAAAACAAATTTATTCGTTTTTTAGATAAAGCGTAATTCGGGGTCAGAGTTTGAAGAATTCTGTTACATGAAACATAAATTATATAATTATTAAAAATTCAAATCGGTTGGTAATCTAACGCATAAGTTCTATCATGATATTTTTTTATATCAAAAGTGGCAGAGCAGATGGCCTACTAAAAAGGTAGTTACCGTCGCCTATGGACATCCGAATCGCAAGGACGGTTGCGTTTGTGACCTTTTTTGTAGAAGTGGGAGAGGAAAGGGTGGTAAAAAAAGAGCAACCGGCCCGCTCACTCATCCGACGAAACGCAGCCTTTAAAGGCTACTTCACACTAACCTTCCGTGAGAGGGTGGTACTTCTCTTTCCGAGCCAGTCCATGTTCGAGC